ACTAGATTACAGAAGAAAACAACATTTCCTTGCAGTGTGCATCTGAATGTGAGGACGTTTTCCATTCTAAGAGCATAGAGGGTCCTGCCTCATCAGCTCTGGGTTTTCTAGGTGTTGGGAGGGTCCCACCTGAGAGAGTTGGGGATCCTGTCAGCTGAGTCCTTTGAGTGTGGGGTGAGCTCCCATAGGAAAGAATTGGAGATCCTTACACATCGGCTCTGTGTTTATCTAATGTGGAATGTGGACTCATCTAAGAGAATATGGAGTATCCTTTGCCATCATCTCTGGGTCCTTTGAGGGAGGGGAGGCTCTAGCCTGAAAGAGTAGGGGATCCTGTGACATCAGCCCTGAGTCCTGTGAGTGTGGAGAGGGATGTCATCCTGTAAAAGCAGGGTGTCCTGTCACATCAGTTGTGTCCTGTGAGTGCAAGGAAAGGTCTGTTCCTGAGAGATTTGGGGGTCATATCACCTCTGGGTCGTCTGAGTGAGGGGAGGGGTCCTTCCTGAGGTAGCAGGAGGCCTGGTCACATCAACTCTGGCCCTGTGAGTGTGGAAGTAGGCCCTTTCCTGAGAGTTGGGAGTCGTGTGACATCAGCCATGGGAGAGCAGTGGGTCCCATAACTTCACAAATAATGGCATATAACTATTTCAAAGATGATAGGAAGAGAGAAATTACATAAAAGTGCTTTATAGAATAAACACCTAACCTATGGAATACCAGTAGGAACTAGTGTTATGTAATGGTCTCCTTCAAGGGCACATACTTTGTCTAATTTTTCTAAAGACAGTCTAAAGAAGTCCCTGAGGAATGATTTACTAACCTGGTATGGAAATTCTAGAAAGGGAAGCCAGAGGCAGGCAGGAGACAGAAAATTAAATAAACAAAAAACCAGAGAGACAAAATTTCTTTAATCTGGAGAAAAATATTGGTGAAAAGTATTTTCGAAACATTCCCTAGGAAAGTCTTAGTGCAACACACAGTATGTCCACTGCATGCGTGGTAGGTAAAGTACTATTATAGGGATGCGGAAGGGGACAGGCCTACAGACAGGAAAAACAGGCTCTTGTGTTTAATAAATTCATCATCCATTGACTGAGGCAATGGATAACTGTCAATGAAGAGAGACAAAGGTGCAAACTCCAGACTTCCATATCCTAACTGCTGACCTGAGAGTCAACTGTATTTGGGTATATCATAGAAATCTCAAGGTTTGCTAGGTAAAAAACCTGAATTCTTATTTTCCTCTCAAACCTCTTTACTTGTAATTTTCTCCATTTCAGTGAATGGCACTACTCTCTATCAGTAACTCAGGCCAGACACCTCCAAGTCAGCCTCCATTCTGCTGTTTTCCTCAAGTCCAGATACATTGACTTTTCTTAGGTTCTTGACTGTGAAGATGCCCCAGGGCCTTTTGCATAGCCCATTCGCCCTGTAAGGTTCTTCCTTTCCTCTGTTGAATGGCTGGATCATTTTCATCTCTTAAGCCTCAATTTAAGTATCAACTTCTCAGAGAGGCCTTCTCAGACCAACCTAATTCCAATAGGTTCCCCTGTTTTTCCTCTCAAGTCCGTCCATCAAAGATTTACATTCCATTAAGATAGGAGTCTCCCTTGTTAACTGTTATAATCACAGCACCTAGCAGTTCTTGGCACAGAGGAGGGAAGCACTTAAAAATTATCTGCAGAATGAATAACCAAAGCTGAGCGATGATGGTGCATTTAAGAAACTTGAAAAGACATTCTGTGTGGCTGGAACCCAGGGCCAGAGGGTGGAAAACAAAGCTGGAGAGGCGGGCAAAGGCCAGACAGCAAGGGTCCTGTAACAAACCATGGTAAGATGTTTAGACTTAACTCTGAAGGAAAATAGCAGTGACTGAAAGGTTGTAAATCCAGAGTGATGATCAGATTTGAGCTTTATCAGCCTGGCAGTGTGGAGACTGGCTTGGAATGTAACAGGACTGAAAGGAGAACCAGCTGGGAGACTACCGTCATAGCTAGGCAGCAGGCACTGCGACTGACTCGATGTGAGTGGTAAGGAAGGAATCTGGAAACCTTTCCTGTTTCTGGTTTGCTCACACCGCTCAGTTAATCACTTTTGCCTCTGGGCCATCAAGGCGATGTGCAAAAGACCCATTTTCAGTACACAATACTGTCGCATAGCAGCTAGCTGAAAATTTATCTCTGAGCACCTCAAACGCTGGGGTATTACCATTTTCCTTCCTGCATTTCCAGTTCCTGATGCTCATCCTTGTGCAACCCAGCAGCACAGTAAATAAATGATCAATAAACGCTGAATGAGTGATTACAACAGCGCTGCCTAAAATTAAAATGCTGGTCTTATTCACTCTTAACCCTCACTGATGACCACCTTCTTATAGAAAGGCTAACTCCTTAAAAAATAACAAAGATGCTCTGAGTCTCTTTCACATTGACATTAAGGGCTTTATCTGTATGGAAAATAATACAGTAACTAAAAATAATATAAGAATAAATTGTGGAAGAAAAAAAAGAATAAATTGTGTTTTGTATACTCACAACTGTAAACCTTCTTTTGCTCCACCCTGTATTTAAAAAGCACTGTAATAGAACTAAAATTACTGTGGAAGTACAAAGAAGGCAGAAAGGCCTAGGAATGCTTCGTGTAGGAAGTGGCATTGAGCAACATCCTCTGGACCTTTTCATTTATTTATTTATTCAACTGTTAGGTACATGGTTGACGTACCTAATTAGAAGGCTGGGCTGTACCTAACTAAAGGCTTAGTTGGGCCTACCTCTGTCCTTCTCTGTCAGAATGAAACCTGCACAATGACAGTTTCTAAGTGTTTCTTTATTTGTATATTTCCTTGTTTGTTGTCTGTTTCTTTTGTCAGACTATTGCACTGTGAGGGCAGTGACCATATCCAGCTTGTCCACTGTTGTATGTCTGGCATTTACCCCAAGGTAGGCTCTTGAGAAATACTTGAATAAGTGAATGAATGACTATAATCACTTCCCTGTCATTTCCCTGCACATCCTATTGGCTCTGGGCAGTTGCTGTACAGGATGGTGAGGCAGTGGCAAAAGCACCTGAAAGTAATCAAAGAAGCAACTTGGTTGTGTCTGAACTTGCTGTCATTGTTCTGATCTTTTGGTTTTAGCTAAGGATATCCTTTTCCCTTCCTTTATCTTTTTTTACATTGGCCTTATCATTCAGACCAGATGAATGTTGGAAACAATGAGTAGTCTATAGAGTATATTTTTAAGTTGATGATATAAAGTCTCTTGAGGCCATTGTATAGTGAAACCGTGACAGGAAATTTGATGCTGGAGTTCCCCAGGAGGAAGAAGCATAGGCAGCTCCTTTTTTTCAGTTGTTGCCTTTTGTGGATACCCTTCATATGGGGATTTTGTTAAGTTTAATTTTTCAGAATGCTCAAATCCTCTAAAATCACGTATTAGTCAATAATCTCTAAAGAAAATGCTGAAGGTTTTGTTTCCGTGGTTCTCACAGTGTGATTCACAGAATATCCTCCATGCGAAAGGAAATGCATTTTAGCATAAACTTAACATTGGTGACCAGGTAAAGACTGTGATCCCTGATATGTTCTTTCAGCAGAGGGAAACAAGCAATGTAAAGTTGAGAACTATTAGAATCTCACTTTGTACAGTTTCTTAAATAGTAGTAGAAGGAAAAGGGTAGAAACGGAATCTACTTTGTTAACTTCCATTAAATGCTGGGAGAGCCTGATGGTCTTAGAACTCTGTCACCAGTTTGGTGGTGCTGTCAAATCTTGAAATGTTCCCAGTGTCATTGCAGAATCGCTTATAAAAGGGTGGTAGTTGCAACTGTTCAAAAGACTTATTTTTGTTGATTGCTGTGATTTGGATCCTGCTGCTGTCATACATTGGGTCCTTTGTCACTGGGATCTTTCCAGGGTGTATCATGATTTTGGAAAGTAAACTGTTCATGTGTTACCGGTGTAGCAGTTGAAGAGAGACTGGTTTGAAATCCATCTCAGTAGAGTTGCCATCCTCTCTCACCTGGACCTTCCAGTTCCCTTCTGTTTACTCTTCCTTTCATTATCATCTCCTTCCCCAGGTCATCCTGCACAGAACAGTCAGAGTGGTCTCTTAAAACATGAACCAGAATCAGTTTTAAAACTCTTTTCAAGCTTCTCATGGCACTTAATGCTAAACTCACACTCCCTGCCTCGGCCTGCTCAGCCCTGGGCTTCATCCCACACTCTTGCCCCTAGTTCACCAAGCTCCAGCCTCTGTCTTCCTTTCTGTTTCTCCAACATTCCAAGCGCTTTCTGGCCTCTGGGCCTCTGTGTTTCTGTTCCTTCTTTCTCGGGTTCTTCCCCTTGCTGGCTCCTCCTTCAGGCTTTACCTCCAGTGCCACTTCCTGGGAGAGGCCTTCTGTGTTAGTTTTTTAGGGCTGTCGTCACAACGTGCCACCAGCTGGGAAGCTGAAAAACAACATAAATTTATTTTCTCACAGACCTGGAGAGCAGAACTTCAAAACCAAGGTCTAGGCAAGATTGGTTCCTTCTCTAGTGTTACATGGGTGAGAACTGGGGTTGCTGAGTTGGAGAAGAGATTTGGGAAGTCATTGGAGCCCTCTGCAGGAGGACTGTCCCTTTGGAGGAGGGTAGTATGGAAGATCAGATTATGAATTACATGCAGGGGTGTACTCCTCTATGTGAGATGCATGCTTCTGTCTCTTTAGGGGGTAGGGGTGGGGCCTATGACATGACACCAGATACTGTTATTGGACAGGGACCAACCCAGAGCATGTCTGCCTCAGGCCAGCCTCTAGTGTGTGGGTTCTAGACTTTGTAAGGTAAAGATTTCACAACAGGAGTCCAGGTGATTTTGAGAGTATGTTTATTAAAGTGAGGAACAGTGAAACAAAGGAAGGACTTAGGGTAGAAGAAGTAATAGGAGAGCCTAGGTATGCTCTGCTTTGGCTCCCTACAAACATTACAGGAAATGAGTGAGCCAAAGCAGGGCTGCTATTAGCTCACTGGGAAGCGAAGGTCACAGTGACAGAAGTGAGCCAAGGCAGAGCTGTTAGCTCACTGGGAGGTCAGAGAAAAGGGGGCCCTGGAGACAGGATCGGGGTAAGCTGGGGATGAGCTGCTGCTGCCCACTGTTCCCCTGGCTGCAAGTCTCCTTGGGACCCTTAGAGTTTAGGAGGAAGTACAAAGTTCATGCCTGGGAAGGGGCATGGGCGTGCTCTGGAGCGAGCCTGCATCTGGTCTTTGTCTTGAGGGTTTTTGTCTCTCCTGTTGGTGAGACCCTTAGGGGAGGGTTTCAGCAGAATATTCATCAGCTGTCCAGGTGTGGTGTTAATGTGCTGATGCATGAAAAGGAGCATATAGAGGAGATTGGGATGGTTCTTGGTCTGCTTCAGTGTTTTACTTGTGTCTTGGGTCTGTCTGGCTCTAATGGTGTTTTTTTTTAAATTTATTCCTCTTATTTCATCTGTCTTTGGTTTTAGGTGGCACAAATGGCATTAACTGGGTCTGTGTTCTCTATTTCCCAGATGAGGGTTATTTAAGCTATGTATTTTCTGGTTAAGGAGGAGAGGTACCAACTCCTTTGGTAGGGAAGGTAAGGTCTTGCCATTCACTGGCTGGCTGTTAAGTTGTTAAATTGTTTGTTTGTGTTTAATTTTTGTTTCTCAGCTCCCCCTTTCCACATGCCCAGGGCTTTTCCCAGCTTCTTACTCTCCTGTCACGTTACCATCTTCCATCTCAGATCTGGCATTAAATATGATTGCGGTAGTGCTAGGAGGAGAATGTTTTATATGTAGAGGCATTCAGCAATAGCATATAAAGAAAGAGAAACGAGAATAATATATCATATATTTAACAACAGAATATAAACCTATAAAGCTTTGTTCAGTAATGTACAGCATTAAATGACTTTTATAAGATTACCATGGAAATGGTTATATATTATACATATGAGTTCTGGCAACATTTTCCATTCCTTAAAATGGAATAACTGTACCGTAGTTTAGATTCCCTTGCAAGTGAGCAAGCAGATTTTGGCAGCATTTGTCTAAGCTGGAGAGGACTTCATTGGTCTGGGTGTTCATGGTGACATGGAGATCAGGGATGATCTCAGTCCTCTTGCCTCTGCCCATCTGTCACAGCCTCTTTATGAAATTCCCATCCTAGTGTGATCCAGCCGTGAAACGGCTCTCCCTGTAGCCCTGGGTTGTGGATTTTTGCTGGAGTGAACTGACATCCAGGCAGGTTGCTGTGCCTGCAAATCCAACCTTAACCATCAGGGACTCCCTGAAGATTTAAGCATCAGTTCTTTTTTCCATGCTATACTTTTTCCTCTGTCTTCCAAGCATTGCCACACTGTGCCATTTTACTCTTTAATAGGCAGCCTTGCCTCCAGTTTCACTGATTAAAAAACTAGGATGTTGTGGAGAGGGTTTTAGTAGAATCCCTTCACTTCCCCTCTTTCCATTTAGAAATGTGTTTCCTTCTGCACCACCCTGTTTCCCACTGGAGGAGGGTTTCTCTCCTGTCCAGGTCAGACCCCTCCATCTGTGCTGTGGACCCCATCCCCTCCTGCCACCTCGGGATGTCTCTGCATCACGAAATCTTCCTTTTCATCAATAGTCTTAACTAATCCACCTGATCATTTATTGCCCTTGGGCATTATACTTTTCCAGTTTCTTCCTTCTTCATAAAATGTTGTTGTTGAAAGAAATGTATTTTACATCTTGATCAGATCAACATTTTGTAGCACATTTAGGATTACAGGACTCAAGTTTGCTGTTGAATGAGCCATATGCTATACCTTTCACAGGAAGCTGTCGTGTAGGTTAAATAACTGCACTGGCTGAGAGGCACAACTGCAGGTGCTTTCCAGTCCGAAACACTGTGACTAAGCCTGTCATAAGATCAGGGATATTTTAGCTTCTGTACTTCGTTGAAATGCTATTAGTCCTTCCCTGACCCTCCAGCAAGATTCTGGCTTCTTGTGTATATTAATTTGTAGTTATTTATTTTGTTTCTACCTCCAGCAGAGGGCATGCAGTTCCTGCTTCCTCAGCAGTCTAAGTAAGCCTAAACTTTATGAACTGGTCTTAGATTTTATGCTTGGGTTTTCCCTTAGGCATGTGATTTGTCACTGGGCAAAAGGGACCTCTAACTACAGCATTCTGCAACTCTGCCAAAGCCAGTAACAGACTTGTCCAATAAAAGAACCTGTACAAACTTGATCTTGGGAATTTTGCTCTCCATTCTCATTGGTTTGAGTCATGCTGTTCTTTGAAGCTGGTTTTGGTCTGTTTTGATATCTATTGTGGAGCTAAGATGTATGCATACATTCCTTCATTCTCTACATATTCGCTGGTCTACTATTTGCTAGACCTATTCTGGTCTCTGGGGATTTATCAATGGGCAAAACAGACTAAAGTCTTTGCCTCATTAAAGCTCTATTTCTAGTGGACTGATTTCATTCACCTCTGGTTTAGAGAGGTAATTTTAGATTTAAGTCAGATTTCTTTTTATTTTTATTGTAATTTCTCCATTACCATTTAGTCCCCTTGTAGCCTTCTCTTCCCCAAACTGCTTCCTGTTGTCCATGTCCATGAGTTCTTTTTCTTTTTTGCTCAATCCCTCCACGCCCTACCTGCTCCCCGCAAGATGTTATCCTGCTTTTTATGAGTCTGTCTCTATTTTGGTTGTTAGTTCAGTTTGTTTATTAGATTCTACATATGAATGAAATCATGGCATTTGTCTTTCTCTGACTGGCTTATTTCACTTAGCATAATGTTCCCCAGGTCCATTCATACTGTCACAAAGGATAAAACATTCTTCTTTATTATGACCAAGTAGTATTTGGCTATGTAAATGTCCCGTAGTTGTTTTATGTACTCATCTGCTGATGGACACTTGAGCTGCTTCCATATCTTGACAGTAGTAAACAACTCTGCACTGAACACAGGAGTGCTTATCTTGTTTTGAATCAGTGTTTGGGGTTCCTTCGGATATATTCTCAGAAGTGATATCACTGGGACAAAAAAAAGATTCTTTTTTAATTTTTTGAGGTATCTCCATACTGCTTTCCACAGTGGCTGCACCATCTGTAATCCCACCAATGGTGCAAAAGGGTTCCCTTCTCCACATCCTCACCATCACTTGTTTGTTGATTTATTGATGATAAATGATTTCTCATTGTGGTTTTAACTTGCATTTCTCTGATAATTAGCAATGTTGAGCATCTTTTCATATATCATTTGGCCATCTGCATATCATATTTGGAGAAAGGTTTACTCGGGTCCTTTGTACATTTTTAATAGTATTGTTTGTGTTTTTGGTGTCAAATCTTGTAAGTTCTTGATGAATTTTAGATATTAATCCCTTTTTCGGATGTATTGGCAAATATGTTCTTCCATTGTGTGGGTTATCTTTTTATTTTTTGATGTTTTCTTTTGCTGTGGAAAAGCCTTTTAGTTTGATGTAGTCCCATTTGTTTGTTTTTTCTTTTGTTTCCTCTGCCTTGAGCAATACATCCAATAAAATATTAGATATATGAACAATGTCTGAGATTTTGCTGCCTATGTTTCCTTCGACAATGTTTCCTCCTATGCTTTTGAGTCTGATGTTTAAGTCTTTAATCCATTTTGAATTTGAATTTGAATTTTGAATAAATTATCTTAACCCATTTGATGTACTTCATCTATTGAATATTAATTGACCATAAAGGTGTGGGTATATTTCTGGGCTTTCCATTCTGTCCTATTTATCCATGTGTCTGTTTTTATGCTGGAACTATACTGTTTTGATTTCTATGGCCTTATAGTATAGTTTTATATTAGGTTGCGTGATTCCTCCAAATTTGTTCTTCATTCTTAGGATCACTGTTGCTTTGCAGGGCTTTTTGTGGTTCCATATACATTTTAAAATATTTGTTCTAGTTCTGTGAAATATACATCATTGGAACCTTGATAGGAATTGTGTTGAATCTATCAATTGCTTTGTGTAGCATGGACATTTTCAGGATGTTAATTCTTCCTACCCATGAACCTGGGATGTGCGTCTACTTATTTGTATCTTTTTAAATTTCTATCTACAGTGTCTTATAATTTTCTGAGTAGTTCTTTTATACCCTTAGTTAGGTTTATTCCTAGGTATTATATTCTTTTTGAAGCAATTGCAAATGGGATTGTTTTCTTGATATCCAGAAATCAGTTGCATTTTTATATGCCAATAATGAACTAACAAAAAGGGAAGTTAATTTTGCATGCTGCTACTTTGCTGAATTCATTGATCATTTCCAGTAGTTTTTGGTGGAATCTTTGGGGTTCTCTATGTATAATAACATGTCATCTGCAAATAAAAACATCTTTATGTCTTCCTTTCCAATTTGGATGCCTTTTATTTCTTCTTTTCTGATTGCTTTGGCTAGGACATCCAGTACTATGTTAAATAAGAGAGGCGAAAATGGACATCCTTTTCTTGTTTCCCATCTTAAGGGGAACACTTGTAGGTTTTGCCCACTGCATATGATGCTGGCAGTGGGCTTGTCATATATGGCCTTTGTTATGTTTAGGTGTGCTCCCTCCATTCCCACTTAGCTGAGTATTTTTTAAATCATAAATCAATGCTGGATTTTATCAAATGCCTTTTCTGCATCTTTTGATATGGTCATATGATTTTTATACTTCACTTTGTTTGTGTGGTGAATCATATTTACTGATTTCTGAATATTGTATCAACTTTGCATTCCTAGATAAATCCCACTTGATCATGGTATATGACCTTTTTGATGCAATACTGTTTTGGGTTTGGTAATATTTTGTTGAGGATTTTAGTATCTATGTTCATTAGGGACATTGGCCTAAAATTTTCTTTTTTTGTAGTGTCTGTATCTGGTTTTGGATTTAGAATAATGCTGGCCTCCTAAAATGAGCTTGGAAAGTGTGCCTCTTCTTGAATTTTTTGAAATAGTTTGGAAGGGGAAGAGGATCCCTGGATCTGGAATTCTTCCTGCAATGTTTGGTAGAATTCACCTGTGAAGCCATCTGGTCCAGGGCTTCTGTTTGTTGGGAGTTTTTTTGATTACTGCTTCAACTACACTAGATGTAATA